TCGCCCTGCTCCAGCCGCCGGGCCCCCGCGGGTCGCCCCTGGGCCCCTCTGGGACTCGATCGAGACGGGCGACGGCCTTTTTTCCCCAGCCGCTTTAAAATCAATCAAGTGACCCGGCCCTCCCCTCCCCACTGGCGTTTGAAAACAGCCGGGGAGGACATATGGGAGCAATTAACCAAGCTGAAGTTTCGGTGGATGCTTTAGGGTGGCTTGTGTGGTTTTCTTGGACACACACACACACACACACACACACACACACACGCCCCACCCCCAACCCGAGGAAGATGGAAGTTAAAAGGAGGCATCTTGGCGTCAGGGCCCTTTTCTTTCCCCAAATAGGAAGTTAGGGGCGTTCAGGGACCCCAGGAGCAGCCCTACCCACCAGCCACTGTGTGGAATAAAGATGTGACAGTCGTGCTGTGAAGATTTACTGCCTCGGAGACCCCATGGGGCCGTTCTCCGTGGTCAGATAGGGTCACTGGAGTCGGCATGGACTTGATGGCAGTGAGCTTGTTGGTTTGGTTTTTGGTTTAGGGAGCTGGTGACTGACTGGTTTGTTCCAGGGCCCCGAGTCAGCCCCCGCCTGCCAGGGCTCTGTACTGGCCTTGTGCTACCCATGCCACATCCACAGAGGCCCACACCTGCTTGCCTGTTGTCTGAAAGAGGAGGAAAAGGGGAGGGGTGTGAATTACAAAATGCTATGATTATTTTGGTTGGTGGTAGTAAATTAAATCCCGGAGTTCCCAAAATGTTTCGCTATACCCCCGTAGAATAGAGTAAAAGCCTGGGTAAGTCCTAGGAATTCGAGAACCCAGCCTGCGGTGAGGTGGGTTGGTGAGTCGACCAGTTCACCCTTAAAGCCCTTTAGATCGGTTTTCATTCAGGAACGATTCATTAGGATTGCTGCTCTCCTGTGTGGTTTGGCCCCATTAGTGTGCTGGAGCAGTGAACGTGGAAGCTCTATAAATGGATTTATTGGTAACCCATAACCTTGCTGTGTCTTGCCCGTCTTTAAAGAACAACTGTTTTAAACAAGCTCCCTATAAAAACTTCAACCTCATGCAGAGAGCTTCCCAGTAGAAAGATACGGGTTGCAGGGGTGTCGATATTTAAAGTTCTTAGAACAAAGGGACAGGAAGCAAACTGGCATACAATCTGTCAACAGAAAGAAAAGATGGCTGAAATTGGTTTGATTTTTCATCCATCACTCAGTTGACTACCATCGTGATCTTTCCGTTGCAAATGCGATCATGGGCATGAAGTTTTCCTGGAATAAGGTGGGGCATGACTATCTAAAATAAAACATAAACTTATTAAACCAGAAAAGCTATTGACTTCTTTCTGCACTCTGAAATGTCTCCTTGCTGAAAACTACGGTAATTGGTTTTATTTAATTTCTCCTGAAATGAAATGCATGAAAGATACCAATCTTGCAACAGCAGATGAAAAAGCCAGACAGCAGCCTGAGCGATGGCGCAAACAAAAGAAGAAAGCTCCACTGTGGTTTAATCCCAGAAATTAAGACAGAAGAGAAATGATACAAACAGACTCACAGCCATTTCCACTTTAAGGACCCTAGAACCCTAAGGAGCTAGCCAACTGGTAACATTCCCCAGCCTTCTTTAGGAGGGGGTGAAATGGACGAAGGATGCAAGTTATAATTTGTATCACATCCTTTGGACTTTGCCTCTTAGCTGTGCTACCAAATGTTTTTTTTCTGAAATTCCTTAGTTAAATGGGACTTCGAAAGAAATGAAATTAATCCCTTCCCCCAATACTCCTCCCAAAGTAGTAAACAGAATTGCACATAAAATAAATACGTTAATTACCAGGATCTTTAAATTACTTTCAGTTGAGAAATTTTGGTCTTTGTCATTCTCAAAAGTCACAGTCAATAAAGAAGTAACTTCATCACTGCCTTGTTAGGAGTGTTTAGCATTCTAAACAGGCATACAGTTAGCAATCTGAAATTTGTACACAGAAGGCCCCTGTCTCCCTGTCTCCCTGCAGTGTTTATGTAACCCAAACTACGTATGTTATTAAGCACAATCTCATTTCCAGCTTTAAGCGGCTAACATTACATCCTGGATGGTATACCAAGAACATAAAAGCTGTGTTAAGCACTGGGTGAAGCTGGTGCATTTTATAAAAGACAAGGCTTAAGAAACACAGTAATAGAAAGTCACATGTGAGAAAAGATATCCAGTCGTGTTAGTCTGAGTAGACTAGAGAAACAAATTCATAGACACTCCTATGTGTATATGAAAGAACTTTATATATAAGAGCAATTGATTATTGAGAAAACATTCCAGCCTAGTCCAGATCAAGTCCACAAGTCCGATATTAGCCCATATATCCAATACCAATCTATAAATTCCTCTTCAGACTCACGCAACACATGCAATGAGGCCAAGTGCAGGAAAATCACAGGCCAGTGAGTGGAAAGTCTTGTGGATCCAGTGGTGTGGTCGTGGAAGTATCTCAGCACTGGCAGGGGTCTCCACATGGCTCCTTTAGCTCCAGGGCTCTAGCATAGCAACATGTGCCTTCTCAAAAGGAATGACTCACAGGGAGTGAGTTTGTGTCCCACATCCAGCGAGCTATTTATCTCCTTAGCACCTACAAATGAGGTCATCAAGCTGTGACCGGATTGACAGGCAAAATCTACCCCTCTACTCTTAAATCTCAAATTGACAACAGATTATGTGACCACCACACCCATTGTAATCAATAGGGGGAGAAATGGAACGTTTTCTAATCATTTTTATATGTAACATATTACTAGCAGAGGTCCAAAAAATGAATTGTAAGGGTTTCTTTGAAATCTGATTTTCCTTTACAAAAGAAAATAGATTTTGCTTGCTCGTTAGATTACTGTATTTTTATGGGGGGGGTTGTTAAGAATCAACTCTTGCTTTTCCTAGGATCTCTCTGCTCATTCCATTTGGCTTAAATATACAGGACAGACTGTGAAAGTTCAAACCTGAATCAGGTGAAAACTTGTCTGAGAAGAAAAACGTTTTCAAACATCCTCTGTGAAGATGAGCAACAGACAGTGGTGAGGCTGTCCCATGCCAAAGACCCAAAACTTAGAAGGCTCAGAAAGACAAGGCACATTCTGGACCTCACTGTATTTGTGCAGCTACAAGCTGCAAAACAAACGGGCTTGAAATACACATCACACCCCAGCCCCCATGAGCTTGCGACCAGAAGAACTACCTGGTGCTCAGGGAGCGACCTCTCTGACCCCTCTCTGGAAGGGAGCACAAAGGAGACCCTAGAGAGAGTGGGAGAAGCATGTGGAGAAATACAATCAGTATATAATGCCCTTTCATTTAATTATGTCTCTTTAATTTCTTTTAAGCTATCAGTTCTTAAGCGTTAGACTACTGTCAGGTCGCCAGTTCAAGCCCACCAGCTGCTGCTCCAAGAAAGAAAGACGAAGTGTTAAGCTCCTGTAAAGATGTCTAGCATCAGAAATCCAATGTAGAATGGACCAGATTTGACCCGAGGGCAGTAGGTTGGTGTTATTTCTAACAACTGCACGTGTACCTGCACCATCTGAAAATTAGAATAAATAAAAAATTTCAGAAAGCAGAAAACCAAAATAATAATAGGAAAAAAATTGCCTTAAAAATCCTGAATATCGTTACGTAGAGAGGAAATATACTAAGAGCAAA